GGGAGGCTTGAGAACCCTGAAGTGGGTAGTTGTACGGGAATGTGTCCATGTGGAGTGACGACCGAGTAACGTAAACGGCGTGACGAGAAGGCATGAATGCATGTATGTGTGCCCACTGTGATTTGCCGAAGTCATTTCTTGTCATTGGAGTAGCAGAAGGCTCCCTAAATTATTCTTCTTGATGGTTTAGTAATCACAAAGTGGCGTTCCTTTTTAATCCAGAAAATGTATGTCTCTTCCCAAAAAAACTGAATAAGAAGAAGAAAGTGGGCAAATGAAGACCTCTGTGTTGAAATACTTGTCGCTTATTCACTCTAGTTGGTAACTTAACAGGATCCAAACTCACGTATATGAGTACCGGGGCACCTAATCCACTTATGACAGGCGCCTTGATGCAAATGTCCCCTTACCAAGGTCGTCAATGTGGTGTTCATTGGTATTTGTGATGGCGAGGCAAGACAATGTAAAGTAGGCAGGACTTAGGTGCCACAGCACCAAAATGGCAAATGCAATGTAGGTGGTGAAGTGTTTACGTTGTTAGATGTGTTATTGCAATCAAATCAAACTGGGGGCAAGAAATGACTAACTTACTAAGAGGCATCTGCAGTAGTGTTTCAGCGATCAATACAATGTAAATTTTATGAATAGATTCGTTAACCTTCGTTTTTGTATGCATAGTGGAAGCATCAAGTGCCACGAGCATGAACATTTCAAGGCTGTTCGCCCAACTTCTTTCCGCCTCTATACATGAACTTATGTAGATGCGGATTTAAACTAAAAATGGGGACATGGAAGTAGAAAATGTACAGCAAAAATGATTTCAGAGAGAAAGGCAAAAGTGGAACACGCGGAAGAGATCAGGGAGTTCCGCTTTGGTCATCACTCTGATACACTTGTATCGCCCGGAATGATGTTGATCTATTAGTGAGTATTGGTGTGCATGAGTATTGCCTCAATGCGTTGTGTATCGACAAGAAGGAGCCTAAAAATGCAAATAGAGCAGTTTCTTGAATGCTCCAAAGTCCAACTAACGTCTTAACGAAAAGTTCTTATACATTTAACAACGCGTGTAACTTCCGGCGTTACAAATGTGTCCAGAGAATTTCTACCTCTAAAAGACGAGGAAAAACTCACGTCTACCTACTCATGCTTCCACTTCACTTTACTTTTTCAGTGCCTGTTCAATTTTTTCTGCATAGTAATATGTATTCAAGGTAATGTTTGAAGGTGATGGTTTGTTGGCGAAATATGAGCGAATGAGAGATCGGAGCGGTGCCACCCTTCATTCTATCCCATATTCCAGTCTAGGATTTCTCGACGATAATGGAGAACCATAGGTCCTGGCCAGGATGCGAAAAAACCATCACATAGAAGACATGCTCGATGAATCTGCGAACATTCCACCAATTATCATGAGAGCATTACCCATTCAAATGCCTAATGCCACGTCCAGTAGCAGCCACTTCTGCATCTCTTTTATCTCTACCAGTTAGAATGGTTGTCTGCACCACCGCCGCATTGCAAGGCACCGCCTCCTTCAAATTAATGCACTTGTTCCACCTTTAGCCAGTGGAGGGGCCTCACATCTTTTGCTAATTAGGGGTGCGCTTCGAACCACCCAGCATTGCTAACTCCCAAACAGCACCTTCGCCCAGCCTCATGTCACGCACCGCCTTCTTCACTGGAGCTAGTGTCCAGTGGAGGAGATATCATTTCGACTTTGTGAAATAGGCGCATGAAATCAAAGTGTGACAGCTGGAGCCCTTCAACTGAGCTTCTCCCTTCATTCGTCTGAGCGCTTGAACTGATTGGTTAGGGAAATCAATTCACTAGCACTAAAGACAGGGAAGTTGAGAGGAGAATCGACTGCCATGGCCAGTACAGTAACGGCAGCTGCAATTTTACCAAGTAAATGCAAGCCATGATCAAGTAAAGTCGGATTACATCGTTTCGCACCATCTTCCATAATTCCTTTAAGTACTTAAAAACTGGGCATTATTAAGATCCACCATATTGCTAGTACGTTAAAGAGCCTTTACCGCAGCCCATAAGATCCCATGAATCACAGTGGAAACATCCTTACTGGTTTAAACTCACGATAAAGACAGAACAATGAACTAAGCTGCGAAACAATCCTCACGGATGACCGGGTTTGCCATATTTGCTGACTTTGACTTGGAAATTCCACACAGACAAACAGAAAACTCGCAGTCAGGTGGCCAAAGAACTCAAGTTTAACGTCTGCAAATTGTTTGGGGAATGCACAAGCCCTAATTCCAGCCAGCACATTAAACACATTGTGTAATTAGAGGCTTGGGGATGGGAGAGTGGCAAATGACGCACATTCAGGGACACTTGATCCACTCTACAAGTTACGACAGGTACGGACTTCTTTAATGAACCG